AATTTTCAAAGAACAAGCATCTATATAAAGGATATAAACACTACACTCCAACACCTCACAAAAAGTTTAGTTTTCAACACTACTGAGATGGAAGCCTTATTAGCCCTTTTCACGTTCTCATCACTACTGCTTCTTTCAGCCTTGTGGTTTTATACAAAGTCGTCTATAAGCAAGAAAGCCCCGCCGCCGCCATTGCCACCGGGGCCGCGCGGCTTACCCGTGGTGGGATACTTGCCTTTTCTCCGCCCCAATTTACACCACCACTTCACAGACCTCGCCCAAAAGTACGGCCCCATCTTCAAGGTCCAACTTGGGAGGCGCCTTGTCGTGGTAGTCAACTCACCCTCCATTGCCAAAGAGGTGGTTCGCGACCACGACGCTATTTTCGCTAACCGCGACCGGCCCATAGCAGCGGTAGTCGGCACGTATGGCGGCCGCGATATCGCCTTCTCCCCAAACGGCACCTACTGGCGCGGCATCCGCAAGGTGTTTGTGCGGGAGATGCTGAGCAGCGACAACCTCCGAGCGTGCTACGGCCACCGGAGAGAAGAGGTTAGAAAGGCCGTTAGAAGTGTGAAATCGAGGATAGGTGAGCCCGTCAACATTAGGGTGTTGGCTTCTTCGACGGAAATGAATGTTGTAACGAGTATGATTATGGGAAGTACGTTGGGATCTGATGAAGAAAAGATTGATCAAATTGCAGGAGAGTTTAGGGAGATAATGGGGAAGCTTATTGCCTTGTTAGGTGAGCCTAATATCTCTGATTTGTTCCCCTGGCTTGCTAGATTGGATTTGCAGGGAGTACGAGCAAGGACGGAGGGTATCGTGAAGGTTGTGGACAATATTTTTGATCCCATCATTAAGGAAGGTGAAAGAATAGTTTCTGAGAAATCTGGTAGCACAACCAAGGATGACGAAAAAAAGGATTTTCTGCAGATCCTCTTAGAGCTGAAGAATGGTGATGACAACACTGGGATATCATTGGATTTCCAAGCAATCAAGGCCATGTTGCTGGTATATATGTTTTCCTCGTTTCATTATCGAACCAAATAAATCTTATCATCTTTACGTTTTGTCATTGCTATTTTTTTTTCTAGTTCTTCTCATCAAACGCTATTCCAATTTTAAAAGTCATTAGTTACTATTACATTTGCTTACTTTTAAACTCCTGTTTTTAAACTATATATATAGGATACTGTGATAGGCGGGACTGACACTACAGCAACAATGGTGGAATGGGTTATGACAGCATTACTTGATAATCCAAAAATAATGGAAAAGGTCCAAAAAGAATTAGAGGAAATTGTTGGAATGACAAGTATTGTTGAAGAGGTCCATCTACCAAAGCTCAAATATTTGGATGCTGTTGTAAAGGAGACATTTCGTTTATACCCAGCAGTGCCACTTCTAATCCCCAGGTGTTCAAGTCAAACTACACAAGTGGGTGGATACACAATCCCTAAGGATACAAAGGTCTTTGTAAACATGTATGCAATACAAAGAGACCCTAAACTCTGGGACAATCCTTCTCAGTTCAACCCTGAGAGGTTCCTTAACCAAACCTTTGGTTTAGACTATACTGGCAATGATTATAGGTTTTTGCCATTTGGATCGGGAAGGAGAATTTGTGCTGCAATTCCCTTGGCGGAGAAAATGCTAATTTATATTTTGGGTTCTCTATTGCACTCCTTTGACTGGCATCTTCCTGCAGGTGAAAAGATGGACTTATCCGATGGATTTGGGCTTGTCATGAAGAAAAATACTCCTCTGGTTGCTGTTCCAGCACCGAGGTTATCTAATTCCGAGCTTTATCAATAATTTCACAGAAATATGTCCTTTTGTAAATGACATATAGGTCTGCAAAAGTGTCATCATCATTATGTGTGTAACAAAAATAGCGTCGTCTATCTATACTTTGCCAGAATAAAAAATAAAAGATTTATAAGCAACAATTCATGTTGCTTATTGTACTTGTCATCCTTTATTTATAAGAGCATCCACATCAATTGGAGATAATGTGGGGAGAATGTAAGAGTGATTAGGAAAGAGAAAATGGGAGGGGAGAGAAAAAAAAGGAAAAAAAAAAAAGAAAAACTGAAATTTAAAATAAAAACAATAATATTTTAGTGGCTCTGACGCGCCTAGCGGGCGCGTGCAGTGCACGCGCCCGCTGGGCTGCTATTTTGGCCCTCACGCTGTGCGTGAGGGAGTGAAATTATTAAATGCATGGGACCCACTTTCTGCCATTCTCCCCACTCTTGCACGAGGGTCTCAACTTTCTCTTTCCTACCCTCCCTCACTTCCATGTCATCAAAGGTTGTACTATTCTCCCCACAATATGCATTGATGGTGATGCTCTAAGCTCGACTAGTTATCAAATCTTTACTATTTCAGATATCTTGTTGTCCTAAAGTTGTTAGTGTTTCAAATTAAACTTCTATTGTCTCAATACTCTTGTTGTTTAGTAACTGTTCATTGATTAAAGATTAATCCATATGCACTTGAGCATTTGCTGCGAGAAATTGTCCCTATTTTCCTTAGTCTTAGGTGATTAAACTCAAGCGGTATTAAACACCCCTAACTATCAAACAACATAAAACAAACGTTCATATTTAATTCGATAGTCGCATTAAAACAAAGAAAATTCAACAAAGCTAAATAACAATAACACAAGTGGTTATGTTTAATTTAGATTAATATTCTTCCTACGATTAAATTAACACTAAAGCCGTGATAAAACTAATCATAGTTGCTACTTAGAAATTAAAAGAAAATCAATTACAAGAATCACTTCCAAATCTATAGCTATAAATTAAATTGAATCAAATAATTAAACCAATAGGTCTCTAGCAATCAAATGAAACAATTAATCAAAACAAATAAAAGCACAGGAGAATATCAATTACTAAAATGAATATAAATTCAACATTAAGAATTAATTAAATCTCGCAGTACAAATGGATCCAAGGTTCATGTAATCTTGACCAAGTTAAAAGAATTAGCCTCACAGGGCCCCATGAACCAGAAAACTTATCACTCTGTAAAAATATAAAATAAAGAAGATAGTCTGATGCCTCCAACAAGAACAATTCACTACTATTTATACACTTCTAATCTCAACCAAAATCTCTTAAACTAAGGAGAACAATTAATCTGAAAAATTAATTTGCACCTCTCAAAATAGCCCCAAATAGCTGAAATTATCTCTACCATTCGATTTCCGGAATCCCTGCTGCAAAACCATGGGTCGTACAAAGTGAATTGGGAAGCCAGAAATTTGACACACCCGTACGTGCTGCGACCGTGTGGACATTCCAGTGTGTGACACATCTGTGACCCGGGTGTGTCACGGTACCTACGGTCGCTATGACCCGGGTGTGTCACCGCCATGTCATGATCGTGTCCCAATTCCAATAATGGACACAACTGCGACACACTCCCGACACACCCATGTTGCCGAACCCAGCCTCCCCTGGCCAATTCTGCTCTAGATTCAACTCCGATTGATCCTACCAAGCCTGGACGTCCTCAACGCACTCATCCAATGACCCTAAGGCACATGACTCGTGATTCCGCATATAACAAAGCTTTAATTGCCCTAAATGGAGGATCACAATGGATGAAGCATTTAATGCACTGTTGCACATGTAACAAAGCTTTAATTGCCCTAAAGCTTTGTACAACAGCACTTGGAAGCCGGTTCCACATAAACGAGATATGAATTTGATTGGATGCAAATGGGTCTACTGAATCAAAAGAAGAGCAGATGGTAGAATTGAACGATACAAAATCAAACTTATTGCACGCCATAATACTATAATAGTAGTTGCACTTTTTATATTTTGTATGTATAAAGAATGCAATGGCTTAATTGTTGGTCCTAGATAAATTGAAGTCTAGAAGAAGATTGAATATATTTTAGAATGCTTTAAAAAAAATAGAAGAAAGAAGAAGAAATGGGTTAGTTCTTCAATTAATGACCAATCAACGCACTACAATGGGAAAGAACATAATTACACACTAATGTAGTAATGCCATTTAGTATGCATACATAGATGATGGAAATTGGCACACCATTATGCTATATTTAATTACATAAAGACATATTTCTATAAGATTATTGGTAAAGCTCGAATTTAGATAACCTCTGTGCTGGCACAACAATCAAGGGAACATTTTTTTTAGTGACTATCCCAAATTTATCAGATAGGTCAAGATTTTCCCCTTTAGGAAGATGCCAGTCAAAGGAGTGCAACAGTGAACTCAAAATATAAATAAGCATTTTCTCCGCCAAGGGAATGCCGGCACAAATTCTCCTTCCAGATCCAAATGGCAAAAACCTATGATCATTGCCTGTATAATCTAAACCAGAAGTTTGGTTAAGGAACCTTTCAGGCCTAAACTCCAAAGGATTGTCCCAAAGTTGAGGGTCTCTATGTATTGCATACATATTCAGAAGGACTCTAGTGCCCTTAGTAATTGTGTATCCGCCAACTTGTGTAGTATGAGTTGGGCACTTGGGGACTAGAAGTGGTAATGCAGGGTATAAACGGAATGTCTCCTTCACAACTGCATCCAAATAGCTGAGCTTTGGTAGATGGACCTCTTCAACAATATTATTTATTCCTACAATCTCATCTAATTCCTTTTGGACCTTTTTCATTATCTCTGGATTATCAAGTAATGTTGTCATAACCCACTCCACCATTGTGGCTGTGGTGTCCGTCCCCCCTATCACAATATCCTATATAAAAATAGTAAACTATAAGTTGAAAAAAGAAGTAACAAAGTAATAAGCAGCTAGTATTAATAATGACTTTTAATTATAAAGTAAAATGACTTTTAATTCTAGACTACGTAAAATGGTATTATATGCATTAATTTTTATATTACTTGAAGTAATTTGTTTGATTTACTTGTAGCACTTTTAGTAGATTCAAACATTGCAACCAATTGAAGCATAAACAATACTACATATACCAAAAAAATTGACTTAATATTCAATTTAGTCCTCGATTATAGTGATTTTTCTCGATTTAGTTTTAAATGTCTTTTTGTGCTTAATTGAGTACTCGACTTCGATGGTTTTACCTAATTGAGTTCCCTGTAACTATAACTTGATAATTTCCCCTCGATTAATGCACAATTTAGTTTTCGACTGTAGTTATTTTGCAGAAATTAGTCCTTGACTATAGTAGTTAATACCTAATTTAGTCATCAACTATATATGGTAATTTTTCTCGATTTAGTATTTTATTCTAACAGCTGATGACTCAATTAGGTAAAATCATCAAAGTCAATGACCGAATTAAGCACAAAATGACATTTATGACTAAATTGAAAAAAATCACTATAGTCGATAACTAAATTTGTATTAACTCAAAAAAAGTTATATAAAATTTTGTTATCATTTATATGAGTTTATTTGATTAATAAATTTTAACAATTCCTCATGTAGCGAATATGGAAGTTAAAGACACTATTTGATACAAAAAGTTTGGTGGTGCAAACAATAATTCCGGCCCTTTTATAGATGATGTGTTTGTGACAATAAATTATTAGTTTGTCAAAAATGAATATTTTCAACTATTAGAAAGTCATTGGAAATGTCAAGCACCTTGTGCTCAGATGGCATGTAATGACCTCTTTCATATGAGAGGTTATGAGATTGAGCCTCAGTAGAGTCAAAAAAAAAAAAAAAAAAAAAAAAAAAAAAAAAAAAGAGGTCATCGGAAATTGGGTCTCAGTTATGTGAGATCGTTGGATTCGTTATACTCATCACGTAAAAGTATTACATTTTCCATAATAAGAAAAAAAAGAGGTCATCGGAAATTGGGTCTCAGTTATGTGAGATCGTTGGATTCGTTATACTCATCACGTAAAAGTATTATATTTTAAATATAATACTTTTGAGGATAAATGTAAAAGTATTACATTTTTCCTTAAAAGTATTACATTTACCCTTATAAGTAACAAAATTTTTATTCCTAATTAGTATTACATTTGAGTATATATATGTATGACATTTGTGTGTATAAGTATTACATTTTCATCTTGACCCGACCCGTCGCACGATGAGACGGTCTCACACAAGTTTTTGCCTTGGAAATTAGCGTTCATAGTCATAAATTAAGGGTACATTCAATCAAGATTTTTATAAACTTTTAAAGATTTTTAACGACTTTAAAAGTTTGGTGGTATTCGATTTTGATTTGTAAAGACTCTTTAAAAGTCAACCGGTATTCAATTAAATCGAATACCACTCGATTTTTAAAGATTTTTTAAAAAGCTTGATTGAATATCGCCTAACTTTTGAAGACTTCCTAAAAGTTTGAATTGAATACCTTCAAACTTTTAAAGTTCATAAAAGTCTTTAAAAGTGTATGAAAGTTCAGACTGAATACACCCCCTTCCAATTTTTAAAAACTCATTAAAAGTATATCGGTACTAGATTCAGACTTTTATAGAGCTTTAAAAGTCTATTATATATATATATATATATATATACTTTTTTATTTTTATCTTTTTATTTTTACACATATTTATATATAAAAAAAATTATATTTGACATTTGTGTTGCGAACATTAACAAAATTTTGCAATTATATTGTTGGTCGCAACAATTTTTATTTTGAAATACTCAAGATTATTTTTTCAAAATAGGGAAAATGGCATTTTTTCCCCCTGAGTTATATACCTATAGCATTTTTTCCCCCTAAATTATTGAAGTGGCTGTTTTTCCCCCTGAAATGTTAAATGGACATATTTACCCTTAAACTAAATATTTAATTTATTTTTTTTTCTCCAACAAATTATGACCATAATTTGGTTCAAACCAAACAAACACTATAGCAACCAAACCGAAATATTTCAATTACAATTTAGAATCGAAATCCGATATTTAGAGTTTATTAAAATCGTGAACCAGAACGGACGGTTCATGTTCCGAACTGAAAAAATAAAATACATATATTGTTGAATTTATACTATTTTAAAATAAAAATAAAATTTTAAAATAAAGACGGTTCAAAATCGCGAATCGGATCCAGAACCGCCGGTTCACGGTTCAAGATTCAATTTTTTTGATACATAATTTTAATAAATTGACATTTAAATATTGGATTCTAGATCTGAATTATAACCGAAAATAATTAATTCGATTGCTATAGTATCCGGTTCAATTCAAACCGAACCGTGGTCATCCCTACATATACGCAATAATTTGTTGGAGAAGTAAAATAAATAAAATATTTACTTTAAGGGTATAAATGTCAATTGAATATATCAAGGGGAAAAAAGCACCACTTTTAGAATAACTGAGGGGGCTAATGCGCTTACCTAAATAATTGAGGGGGAAAAAGTGCTATAAGCATATAACTCAGGGGTAAAAAGTGCCATTTTCCCTTCAAAATATATATTAAGCCTAGTTGACCTCTTAATCTCATAGTTAATAATATAAAGAAGAATACAACTTTTTCAAAAAAAAAAATAAAAAACAAAATTTTTAAAAAAATTAAAAATTTGTTTTCACGTAAGAAAAAATAGTAACTGAAAGTAAGCGAGTTTTCAACGGATGACATACCAGCAACAATGCCTTGATTGCTTGGAAATCCAATGATCTCCCAGCGTCATCACGTTCCTTCAGCTCTAAAAGGATCTGCAGAAAATCCTTCTTTTCGTCACCCTTAGCCACACTCCCAGATTTCTCAGAAACTATCCTTACACCTTCCTTAATAATGGGTTCCAAAATAGTGTCCACAGCATTTCTCATAACCTCCATCTTTGCCTTTATCCCCTGCAAATCAAATCTAGCAAGCCAGGGGAAGAAATCAGAGATATTAGGCTCGCCCAGCGTGTACACATACTTCCCCATTAACTCCCTAAACACTCCTCCAATCTCTTCATTCTTTGCTTCATCAGATCCCAACGTACTTCCCCAAATCATTCTCGTCACAACATTTAGTTCAGTCGAAGAAGCCAATTCCCCAATGTCGACAGGCTCACCTATCTTCGATTCCACACTTTTAATGGCCTTCCTAACCTCTTCTCTCCGGTGCTCGTAGCACGCCCGAAGGTTGGCGCTGCTGAGCATCTCCCGTACAAACACCTTGCGGATGTCGCGCCAGTAGGTGCCGCTGGGGGCGAAGGCGATATCGCGGCCGCCATATGTGCCGACTATCGCTGCTATGGGCGGGTCGCGGTTAGAGAAAACAGCGTCGTGATCGCGAACCACCTGTTTTGCAATGGAGGGTGAGTTGACTACCACAACAAGGCGCCTCCCAAGTTGGAGCTTGAAGATGGGGCCGTACTTTTGGGCGAGTTCTGTGAAGTGGTGGTGTAAATTGGGGCGGAGAAAAGGCAAGTATCCCACCACGGGTAAGCCGAGAGGCCCCGGTGGCAATGTCGGGGCTTTCGTGCTTATAGACTTTTTTGCATAAACCCACAGTACTGCTGAAAGGAGGAGCAGTACTGAGAACGTGAATAGAGCTAAGGTTTCCATCTATCTCTGTGCTCGAAATTAAAGTTTCTGTGTGGTGTTGGAACGTTTGTTTATCCTTGCAAGAGTCTTAAATAGATAGATGCTTTCTCTTTGGAAAGACTAAAGATGGGATACATAAAGAGACAGCAGATGGCCGATTGAGTGAATGGTTATCAGATGGGATAGAGATCTCTTTGTTCATACTCAAGATTTTTTTTTTTTTTTTTTTTTTTTTCTGCATTAAGCTTTCTTTCATTTCTTTGTATGGCCATAGATTTTTGGTTCATAGATTTTATTTTATTTTTTCAATTTTAGATAAATTAAATATAATATATCTGGTTTTCAATATATATATAAAAGAAAGCTCATACGTGGTCATGTAATTAGGTGTGGCTGTGTGGTCGTTTCTGGATCGTTGAATCAGGGTCATCTAACGGCAGTGGCTAATTACTGAGGTTTTGAGGTTTTAAGTGCGTTTTGGTAAGTAGGGGTTGTTATGGTAGTTACAATGACCATTAATAGCAACCGGGTTCCAGAAATACACCAATTGTGTTGATAACATGCACAAATAGTGTAATAAAACACATCACAATGAAACACACCAATGGTGTATTCCCGAACACTGTATGGTGTATTTATTCATATCACATGACGCGTTTTTTGTGATGCGCACATAATTTGTGTATGTTTTTTTGCTGTGCATTTCATAACATGGATGGTGTATATTTGTATAACAATTGCTGCGCCCGCACTGACCACGAGAAGGTGTTGCCGCACCTGAACTTGGCACCAATGGGAATCTACAAATACACCAGAGTAAGGCTAATAATGCACCAATTACACAAATAAAACACACAACAATGTGATTTTCTCTATTCCTGTGCCTTATGACGAGTTTACCCTTGCAGTTCGCGGGTACGAGAACGTGCGTGAAAATACTAGAAGAATCTTAATTAATGTGATTCATTGGATCTGTCTAATCTAATCGTTTGTTATTGACCATATGACCACACCTAACAACATGATTGCACTTGATCTCCCATATATATATATGTGTGTGTGTGTGTGTATATATATATATATATATATATATATATATATATATATATATATATATATATATATATATATATATATATATATATAGAAGAGCGCTCATATGCGGCGGGGTCTTACCGTGCGGCGGTGCGGTCAAATTTCAGAATACACCAACAGTGTCAACAATATGCACCAACAGTGTAATAAAAATACACCACAATGAAATGCAATAAAACATCACAAAATACACAACAGACTCAAAAAAATACACCATATAACTCACCACCCCCAATGGTGTATTTTCGAACAATGTATGGTGTTTTTACTTACACCTCATGGTGTGTGTTTGGTGATGCAGGACTCTGTTTACTCTGTTTTGTGTGGTGTATTTTCCTAACGTTGATGGTGCATATTTGTTGAACTATTGGTGTTGCCGCACCGTAAGAAATAGCCGCACCGTAAGACACTGCCGCACCTGGACCCGCCTATATATATTGGTATCAGAGCCTCCAGACTTAAGTTATTGGTCTGACGATCTCGCTACTCCGTGCCCCTTGATCTCAATCCTTCAGCGGTTAGTATTATTATTTCTGATTTTGTTAATCTGTTCGATCTCACGGGTTATTAAGTGTTACAGAATGGA